GCAACGGAACGGCCCCGGGCGGGAATGAGCGGGGCCTCCCCCCCCCGCCCGCGTCCGCGGCCTCCTCTTGCCCCGTAGTCGCCCCTCCAACGACGCCGGGGCTGGCGGCGTCCCCGAGGGCAGAAGGGCAGAGATCGGGCCCGCTAACCAGCGAGAGGCCCCGGGGCTCGAGCAGTCCTTCAAATGTGGGTGAAAGACAAAAACACCGCGAGCAGCAGCACGCGTTGGCGTTGCGATGACGGTTTCTCCTCAACCCTTCGTTATCAGTTAATGGAAAATAAGACCTGAAGAGCTGACAAAAAGGTCAATCTATTTTATGCAATGAGAAGCAGGCTAAATCCAAGCCATTCGTTAAATGCAACATTTCCAAGGGCACAAAATCCCTTCTGATCCTGCTTGTTCTATGGGACTTGTTCCTCCAGCTGCAGCACTATCAGTCCCCAAAGCCAGTTGTTAGGGCGTCGTCTTTTAATTCCAGCCTCCAAATAAAATGATCTAGTAATACGGCAAGTCTAAATTACAAATTTAACGTCCAGTTTTAAAATCCTTAGTTTTGTTTGTTAAAAGTACTTTAAATTGTTTCCCAGGAGCAAATTGTTCAACTGCAGGAGATTCAGAACCCATGTCGCTTCTTGCTCTCTTGGCCACACCGAGCACAACCTGAATGCCCTCCCCAGCGCTTCTCCCACAACAGAGTACTACTACTCACCCCAGAGCACTATGCGTGGTGGAAATGTGCAGCAACCACAGACAAAGCTTGTTTTAACCACATTTCAGCATGATCCTCTTCAGCAGTTTGCACTGGACAGATGGGATTACCATCCACGCAGCTGCACATTAGTGCCTTCAAGGCAGACAAATTGAAAGGGCTGCTGTCAAAAGAATTTTCTTACACATACCAGCTAAATTAAGTCTTCCACATCAAGAATGAAAAAGAATTTTCAAATATAATCACTGCTCTAGATACAATTGAAGGATTTTTCCATGTTAACAGCTGTTTCCTGGAAAGATCCAAATATTCACATTTCCTAAATCTGCAATCCTATTATGTCACCCTACTCTCTACAGCAGTTCCTCAGGCTATAGTTTCAGAAAAC